GGAGAGAAACCATTTCTCTTACTGTCTCCTGTCTCTGAAGAGGAGGAGGAAGGAAAAGTTGAAAAACAACAGGAATTAAGTCAGTGGCAAGACCAGCCAGTGCCGCTGATGACCAGGCCTGAGGTTAAAAGATTAACCCCCTACTCTTTCCACATGTGCTCTCAATCTATCACGACCCTTTCACGTGGAACCCCTTGGAGTTGTAAGCCCTTAAAAGGGCCAGGAACTCTGTCTTCAGGGAGCTCAGCTCTTAAGAGTGTCTGCCGATGCTCCCAGCCAAATAAAAACCTCTTCTTTCTTTAATCCGGTGTCTGAGGAGTTCTGTCTGTGGCTCATCCTGCTACAGCAAGAACATGTTCTCCAACATGGTCACTGCTCAGAATACCAAGGGAATTCAACAGAAAAATGTCTAGGCTTTTCAAAACCTTTTCTCTTCTCTGGGCTCTGTCTTACTCTTCAACGATATGGCAAAAAGGAACAAAAGATTATTGGGCATGTTAATGTGGTTTATAGCTTCTGACTAAAGAAATCCTGAGCAAGACAATTCATTTTCGCTATTCCCTTCCTGTCACTCATCTCGGGCTGACACATCCACCTTAGGTGGTACAGAGACCCAGGGAGTGGAAATGGAAAGTATGTTTATTTTAGTGTGACCATGCAAAACGTGTTTTTAAAAGGAGAAAAGTACAGAATGGCAAGAATTGTGAAAAACAGATGAACGTGTGTGCTTTTGAACCCTGTGCAAGGCAAGGACACACTACCACTGAGCCACACCTCTCTCACTAAGAAACATCGTGAAGATCTTTTTTGATGCTTTAGCCATATTTCTGAGAGGTCTTCAAAAATATGATAAGTTGGCCAGATAGAAAATCCACTGCCTCATATCTCAGTATTTCTTACCTCTAAACTATATCCTCTAAAAGCTGCTAGGAGAAAAGTAAGAGAATCACAGACCAAATCACACTGTTTCTGCTTCTAGAACATTTCAGCCCATCAGTTTATTCTGAGGTTCTTCTCTCCAGCCAACTGCCTGAGGGCATTTTCTCCCACAGCCAAGAGGTAAGATGTCCAGATGGAACGTTCTCTGGGGTCTTCAACTTGTCTGTGTCCATTTCTTCTCTTTCATCTGCTTACAAAGTTTTTCAAGCCCCATCCTACTTAAGAAAAGATGAGCCTGGGCGCAGTGGCTCACGCCTGTAATCCCAGCACTTTGGGAGGCCGAGGTGGTCGGATCACGAGGTCAGGAGATCAAGACCATCCTGGCTAACATGGTGCAAACCCCATCTCTACTAAAAATACAAAAAATTAGCTGGGAGCGGTGGCATGCACCTGTAGTCCCAGCTACTCTGGAGGCTGAGGCAGGAGTATTGCTTGAATCTGGGAGGTGGAGGTTGCAGTGAGCCGAGATTGCGCCACTGCACTCCAGCCTGGGCGACAGAGCAAGACTCTGTCTTTAAAAAAAAAAAGGGTGGGGGGCCTGGCGCAGTGGCTCAAGTTTGTAATTCCAGCACTTTGGGAGGCCGAGACGGGCAGATCACGAGGTCAGGAGATCGAGACCATCTGGCTAACACGGTGAAACCTCGTCTCTACTAAAAAATACAAAAAACTAGCCAGGCGAGGTGGCGGGTGCCTGTAGTCTCAGCTACTCGGGAGGCTGAGGCAGGAGAATGGCATCAACCTGGCAGGCGGAGCTTGCAGTGAGCTGAGATCTGGCCACTGCACTCCAGCCCCAACGACAGAGCCAGGCTCTGTCTCAAAATAAATAAATAAATAAAAATAAGAAGAGATGATGAGCCACAGTCTAGGAGAAGATATTTCAATACTTATGTTTTACTAAGGATCTTTATCTGGAATATGTTAAGAACTTCTACAAAGTACTAACAAAAAGACTAAAACTTCAATAAGAAAGAGCAAATTAATGTGCACTTCAAAAAAATTGCTCTTGAGTGATATCAAATATGCTCAACATCTTTTACTAAAAAGGAAATGCAAATTAAAAACACAACAAAGCTGAGCACGGTGGCTCATGCCTATACTCCCAGCACTTTGGGAGGTCAAGGCAGATGTATCTCCTGAGGTCGGGAGTTCAAGATCAGCCTGGCCAACATGGCAAAACCTGGTCTCTACTACAAATACAAAAATTTAGACTGCCACGTGCCCCGGTAGTCCCAGCTACTTGGGGAGGCTGAGGCATGAGAATCTCTTGATCCTGGAAAGCAAAGGCTACAGTGAGCTGAGATTGTACCACTGCACTCCAGCCTGGGCAGCAGAGCAAGACACCATCAAAAACACATACACACACAAAATAATACTGCTCTTCATCAGAATCATTTAACGTGAAAAGTGAACAATATCAAGTGTTGCTGAGTATGTGAAGCAATTGGAACATGCAAACATGGCTGATGAGACTGTAAACTGCTATATCTACACTGGGAAACTATCTGAAAATATCAACTAAAACTAAATATATATATAAAACCTGTGACCCAAAACTAGACAGTTACATTTATGCCCAAGAGAAGTGCATGAGCATTTCCCTTGAAGGACATGTATCAGAACATTTACAGCAGCATTAAACATTTCAACCAAAAACTGGGGGTGCTGCAAATGTACTTGGACAGTAAAATGAATAAATCATGATGTACAGTATTCAGACAATGGAACACTCTAGAGCAATAAAAAATAACTACTGTTACTAGCAACAATATATCAACAATGAATCTAATTTTTTTTTTTTTTAGAGAAATTGAGTAAAAGAATCCATATACAGATGAGTATAGATTTGCTATGGTTTGAAAGTGTCCCCTCCAAAGCTTAGGTGTCACCATGTGATAATTATCAAGAGATAGGGCCTTTAAGAAGATTAAGCCATGATGGTTCCTTCCTCGTGAATAATATTAGGTACCCTTATAATAAGATTTGACAAAGGAAATTCATCTCTCTATTGCCCTCAGTTTTCTGCCATGTGAGGACACAACAAAAAGGCCATCACCAGACGCCAGAGCCAGTGCCTTGATCTTGGACTTCCCAGCCTCCAGAACTGTGAGAAAATAAGTTTCTAGGCCTGGCACGGTGGCTGTTTCCTGTAATCAAAGCATTTTGGGAGGCCAAGGTGGATGGATCACCTGAGGTCAGGAGTTCAAGACCAGCCTGGCAAACATGGTGAAACCCCATCTCTACTAAAAACATAGAAAAATTAGCCAGGTGTGGTGGCACTCGCCTGTAATCCCAGCTACCCAGGAAGTTGAGACAGGAGAATTGCTTGAATCCAGAGGCTTAGGTTGCAGTGAGCCAAGATGGCTCCAGCCTGGGCAACAAGAGTGAAACTCTGTTGAAAGAAAAGAAAAGAAAAGAAAGAGGGAGGAAAGGAGGGAAGGAAGGAAGGAAGTTTCTGTTCGGTTACCAAAATTACCAGGAAGGAAGGAAGGGAAGGAAATAAGTTTCTGTTGGTTACAATTACCAGTCTCTGAGTGATTTTGTACAGCCCAAAAATAGCAGATTACTTATATGATCCCACTTATATTACTTTATTTATTTACTTTAATTTTTTTTTTTTTTTTGAGATGGAGTCCCTTGCTCTGTGCAAACCCAGGCTGGAGGCAGTGCCGGAATCTCAGCTCACTGCAAGCTCTGCCTACCAGGTTCAACGCCCATTCTAGGCCTCTCAGCGCCTCCCCAGTAGCTGGGACTACAGGCGCCTGCCACCTCGCCCAAGCTAGTTTTTTGTATTTTTTAGTAAGAACGGGTTTCACTGAGTGTAGCCGGATGGCTTGGATCTCCTACCTCGTGATTCCCCAGTCTGCGGCTCCCGAAGGCGATTAGCAGGCTTGGAGCCACCACGCCGGCCCCTTATTTATTTAAAACATAACGAAAATAATCATATGGAGGTGGATGTCAGAGAGTGTAGTGGATGATGAAATGAGGGCAAAAGGCAGCTGTTCGGTTGCTGAAAAAATTCAGTATCCTTGGTCTGAGTTTTGGTTATATATATAATAAAGCCATAAACTGAATAGGTTCATGCGTTTTATTTTATATAAGTGAAGGCTTAAATTTAAATACAAAAAAAAGAAGGTTCTCCTAGATACTTCCTATCCTCCCACAAGCATTCTCTCTCTTCTTTTAGGGGTTGTTTTGTGTTTGAGAGGGAGTCTCCGCTCTGTCGCATCGCTCAAGATTATTAGGACTTGGACGGACGGGATGGTAAGTTGAGTCTAAGCGCTACATTCCTCCGTCGCTTTCTCTGGATATGAGGGAAGAGAGGTACTTTTTTTGGTCTCTAGGGAGGTAGGCTCGGACCGAGGAGAGGACCCTGGTTCGTTCTGGCCAGGCCTGTCACGGGCTTCCCAAGAGCAACTCGCTCCGCTATTTCCGTCGCTCAACAGACCGCTGGAGCTCTTTGGCAGGAGCAAGGGAATGTTTGGATTTTGTTTAGCGCTTCAGGACCCTGATACTGTAGCTTCTGAGGGAGCTGGCAGGGATTTCCCGAATTCCTGCGTGCCTGTGTTTAAAGTTAGAAGCGGAATCTACTGGCAGCTTCGAAACTGAGCCTGACGGTGGTAACATCTAATTTTATTAGTTTTTGCTTGAAATGCAAAAGATGAAAAAGCAAGTTCCCGTTTGTTTGCTCCACATATTTCTCTTAGAATGAAGCCGATTGAAAGTTAACTTCACCCTGAAGAAACTCCTCCTGGCGTTTGCAACGATCTCCTTTATGCCTCACGTCCAGCCTGACTCAAAAGGACTCTAAAGAGCTGGAGAGTGGCTGCGGAAAGGCGGAGTCACGGTACAATTGGTGTTAACTACGTGTGCAGTCACAGCCTCTTTAGGTCCCCTATTACAGGTGCAGAGGCAGTATAGATGAATCCCTCCAACAAGTCGAGTGGGTTGACTCCAGATTGACCTTTAGCGATGGCTTGATAGATGAGTGCCGTCACAGCGTTTAGAAAGTGAGTAAAAGAAAGGACTCAGGCCGGCGCGGTGCTTTCCACCCTGTAAATCCCAGCACTTAGGGGAGGCCGAGCGGCGCGGACATGACGAGCTCAGGAGATCCCGAGACCATCCTGGTTACACTACGGTGAAACCCCGTCTCTACTTAAAAAGTACAAAAAGGTAGCCGGGCGTGGTGGCGGGCGCCTGTAGTCCCAGCACTCCGAAGGCTGAGCAGAGAATGGCGGTGAACCTGGGAGGCGGAGCTTGCAGTGAGCCAAGATCCGCGCCACTGCACTCCAGCCTGGGCAACACGCGAGACTACCATCTCAAACAAAAAGAAGAAAGAATGCATACAGAAGCCCACACGCTTGCTTGGCTTCTGCAGATGGAGAGAGAGAGAAAGGTCGCTTTTCTGCCTTCTGGGTGTTTAGTAACTTATTTTTTATTTCCTTCGTTGGCATGAAATAGAGCTGAAAATAAAAGCAGATTTTCTTTTAACAAGACAGTATTAACATGCTTGCAGAAAATTTCCCTGAGGATTTCTACTTAGCACGGTGATACCACAAAGAGCTCTAATCTGGAGGTATGAGTTGTTCCCTAGCTTAGAAGGAGGTCAATCCTGGAGAGTAAGTACAGTGAGGTACAAAAGGATCCTTTGGGATTAGAAGAATAAACGTTCATTACTTTTATTTATGTAAAACAACAAAATGAGCTTTCTCCTATCCTGATCTTGGTTCCTGGAGTTCAGTGTTAGCATCTCAGACCAGAAGCTTCCTCAGAGGACCCAGAGAAGTGCTTTTTACTTCCACCAAATTTTAGCTGAGGTGAATGCTATCTGTTTGTCATTTGCTGTGTGTTTGTAGTTAAATAGTTTAAGTTTCAGAGTTTGTGGGTCTCCAATGGAAAAAGTGACCACCACACATCAAATCATCAACCCCTGGCAGTGTAATCTTTTAGTGAAATCTTGTAGGGCTTCTGCAACCTGGTTAGGGGGAGTTAGAAAAAGAAACAGAAAAGGACTTGAGCCTTTTAGCTTCTGATCTGAAATCAGACTTGGGCCACACAGTTCTACAGTTTCTGATGATTTCATTTACAGTTAGAAATCAGCTGGATGGCCAGGAATGCTACTTGCTTCCCCCCGTGCGTGGTCCATGTTAATGATTGATGGGTCTGTTTACCAAGAATAGGCGGATAATCCTAAGCAGCAAATAACCTCACGTGAACACGAATCACCCTCTGTATGAGAGAGAAATGCAGAGACCAACACAATTCACTTTGACAGACAGAAAATTTTAAAGTTGGGGAATGTCATGGACCGCTTCTTACTGGTGTCCCGGGGAAGAAAATGAAACCTGGAGGTACTGGGGATCGAACCCAGGGCCTCGTGCATGCTAAGCACGCGCTCTACCACTGAGCTATACCCCCTCGACGACCCAAGCGGTTCAGAAAACAGGTTGGTGACCGCCAATATCTGAGTCTGCCCTCTGTGTCAGGATAATCATTATATGTTTCCAATTCCACTTTTAATTCCTACATATGGATCCACCGGCATTCGGGATGTACACCTTGAACTGAAAGATTTAACACTTTTCGGCCAAAGAGGGGACTTGCACTTTATCAGTTTTCCAACCCAGGACCTGTCTACTTTTATCCAAATGGGAAGAGATAAAAACTTGTCAACCTTGCAAAGGGTGCTATGTGCTACAAGAGGTGGTGCCTACAAGTTTGAAAAAGATTTTCGCACAATTGGAAACCTCCACTTGGATGAACTTGACTGTCTTATAAAGCGTTTGCTGTGTATAGACTCTGTCAGTTTCAATGGACAAGCAGAGTGCTGTTATTTAGCTAATGCCCAGAACCTCAGCGACGCCAAAAGATGCCTTTTAACCCGGATGATCCCTATCTGCTGCTTGTAGTGAGCATTGGCTCAGGAGTCAGTATTTTAGCAGTCCATTCCAAAGACAACTACAAACGAGTGACTGGGACAAGCCTTGGAGAGGGTACCTTTCTGGGTTTATGCAGTTTATCGTATGGCTGTGAAAGTTTTGAAGAGGCTCTTGAAATGGCATCCAAAGGTGACAGCACACAAGCTGACAAGCTGTCCTGTGATATTTATGGAGGAGATCATGAAAGATTTGGTTTGCCAGGTTGGACTGTAACATCTAGTTTTAGGAATATGATTTATAAGGAGAAGAGAGAATCTGTTAGTAAAGAAGATCTGGCAAGAGCTACTTTAGTTACTATCACCAATAGCTTTGGTTCTGTGGCACGAATGTGTGCTGTTAATGAGGAAATAAACAGAGTTGTCTTTGTTGGAAACGTTTTACATGTCAATTCCCTCTCAATGAAACTTTTGGCATATGCACTGGGTTTCTGGTCAAAAGGTCAACTGAAAGCATTGTTTCTAGAACCTGAGGAATACTTTGGAGCAGTTAGTGCACTTTTGGGCTGACAAATTTCAGCTAAAGCACCAGGTCTCTCTCTCTGCTAATAAATGTCATCCAAGAGGAACTGAAACAAGGGGCATTATTACTGCATTGTTTGTCACGGGGAACCAAAGGATAAAAGAGTAGAGTAAGCTGCTGAATATTGCCATATTAAAGGAGAGAACTTAGTAACGTGAAAAAAAAAATAATAATTTTAAAAAGACAGTAACATGTATAATTTCTAACAAAAAAGAAATACTTAGACGTAAATCTAACAAAACCTGAATAATGCTGAAAAAGACACAATGCAATGTAAGGTGGGCATGGTGCCGCCAGCCTGTAATCCCAGCACTTTGGGAGGCCAAGGCAGTTGGATCACCTGAGGTCAGGAGTTCAAGACCAGCCTGGCCAACATGGAGAAACCCCATCTCTACAGAAATACAAAACTTAGCCAGGCATGATGGCAGATGCCTGTAATCCCAGCTACTCAGGAGGCTGAGGTGGGAGAATCACTTGAACCCAGGAAGCAGAGGTTGCAGCGAGCCGAATCACGCCATTGCACTCCAGCCTGGGCTATAGAGCAAGACTCCATTAAAAAAAAGAAGCGTACACAATGTAATGTACACAATGCTGATGAAATAAGTTTTAAAAAACCAAAAATACAACAACAACAACAACAAAAACTAAATAAATGGAGAGATGTACAGGGTTAACAGTTTGCAAAACTCAACATGGTAAAGATGGCAGTTCTTCTCAAATTGACATATAGGTTTAATGAAATTCTTATCAAAATCCAAGCAAGATTTTTATTAACATAGACACGATTATTCTAAAATATATGTAGGAAGTTAAACGAATTAGAATTGCTAAAATAATCATTAAGAATAAAAATATAAGGGGAAGAAATAGTCAACTTGATTTCAAGACTATTGTATTACATTGTTGTATTTTTATGTTATTGTATAAGAAAGTGAGGAAGCAAGTCTGGGCCCCCTGGCTCATGCCTGTAGCCTCAACAACACTTTGGAAGACTGAGGCGGGAGGATTGCTTGAGCCCAGGAGTTACAGATCAGCCTGAGCAACAAAGGATGATCCTGCCTCTACCAAAAAAAAAAAAAAAAAAAGCTAGTCATAGTGGTCTTGCGCCTGTGGTTCCAGATACTCAGGGAGACTGAGGTGGGAGGGTCACTGGAGCCCTAGAGGTTGAGACTGCAGTGAGCAATGATATTACCACTGCACTCCAGCCTGGACGACAGAACAAGACTCTGTCTCAATTTTTTTTTTTGTTTTTTGAGATGGAGTCTTGCTCTGTTGCCCAGGCTGGAGTGCAATGGCATGATCTCGGCTCACTGCAACCTCTGCCGCCTCCTGGGTTCAAGTGATTCTCCTGCCTCAGCCTCTCGAGTAGCTGGGATTACAGGTGCAACACCACGCCCAGCTAATTTTTGTATTTTTAGTAGAGAAATACAAAATTTTGCCTAGCCCTCCCTACCTATAAAAGAAAAGCATAGGCCGGCGTGGTGGGATCACCCCTGTAATCCCAGCATTTTGGGAGGCTGAGGTGGGCAGATCACTTGAGGTCAGGAGTTTGAGACCAGCCTGACCAACACGTCAAAACCCTGTCTCTACGAAAAATACAAAAATTAGCTGGGCATGGTGGCAGGTACCTGTGATTCCAGATACTCACGAGACTGAGGCAGGAGAACCACTTGAACCGGGAGGCGGAGGTTGCAGTGAGCCAAGATCTCGCCACTGCACTCCAGCCTGGCTGACAGAGAAAGACTCCCTCTCAAAAAAACAAAACAAAAACAAACAAACAAAAAAGAGATGGTAAATCCAACCCCACCCCTGACATAATGCAACTACAAACCTCACTGGCTTTCTCACGTGGTTTAAGTTTTTGATTGAGAATAGGCAAGGAACCCCAGGAACAAATCTTGCCCCTCAGCTGGTGCCTGATCCTGGGACCTCCTTCTTAAACCTCTAGAACAGTGCTTCTCAAACTTTAGCATCAGAGTCACTTGAGGGCTTATTCAAACACAGGAGACTGAGCCCCACACTCAGCAATTCTGATTCAATAGATCTGAGGTTGGGCCTGGAATTTAGCATTCTGCTTGCAGCACCCTAATTTCCCACCCCTTGCTCTCCCATGCAGTGTCCACTGTGACTGGCATGCCACTGTTTGCCTGGACAGAACCAATGGATGCCAGGAAATTAAAAAAGAAAAAGTATGGAACAAAAAGAAAATACATGGCATGTGTGAATTACCTTCCTCCAAAAAATGTATCTCAAAACAAACATATGATTGGCCTGGGGTCACACACACAGCCAGTCCTCAGCTAAGCAGGTTTCACTAGACAGTATCCCTCCTGGATGCTAGTTATAGATATTTTCACTGGACAAAAGAATCAAGAAGTAAAGACATGCCAGCCTGATAGAGTGTTAAGCTGGTGGACTGGGAACAAACATTGTAGTTTCTTGCCTCTCAAAGACACTTTAATTCAACAATAAATAAATGTGTACAGAGAGAACAGCAGTTTTGAAACTGTACACTATTGGAAACCTTTAACAGGTACCATGAATGCATAAAATTTCTTGGGAGTTCCCTTTTCAAAAAAAAGCAGTTGTAATCAGATGGATTGAGAAAGAACATGAAACGTTTGTTTGTTTTTTTCCACCGGAGGAAGTGCCCAACACGATTGCGATCTACTTACCTTTTACTCTGCATGTATTTTCCATTGTGACAGAAAACCTTTTCCTGTTTTTTTCATAAGGGCCTCCGTTTGCTGTTACCAGAAGTTCCCAGGCAATATTGCAGTGACTGAGGAAATACAGGAATATGAATATGAATCAGTCTCATGGAATATCAGTACCAATGTTGATCCATATTGGTTTCTGTTTCTCTCATGTTGAAGGCCTCTAATTCCCCGACAGTCTTTGTTCGGTCATCCAGCGTCCTTCCAGTCCTATTTCAAGTGGCTAGAGAGCCACAGCAGTCCTTGTCTCAGTATTGGATCGCACTTGTGTCCCTGTGCAGGTCGACAGGGAGAGACTGGTGGAGAAATCAGCGGACGGATGCTTTCGCTCTGTTCTTTGGCCCAGAAAACAAACAAAAACATACTCACCCCCTTTTCGTCTTTGCGTCTCTTTAATCACAGTACAAAATGGAAAGCCGGGTGCGGTGGCTTATGCTTGTAATTCCAGCACTTTGGGGGACCGAGGCGGGTGGATCACGAGGTCAGCAGTTCAAGATCAGCCTGACCAACATGGCGAAACCCCGTCTCTACTAAAAATACAAAAAAATTAGCTGGTCGTGGTGGCGGGCGCCTGTAATCCCAGCTGCTTGGGAGGCTGAGGCAGGAGAATCGCTTGAAACCGGAAGACGGAGGTTGCAGTGGGCCCAGATTGTGCCACTGCACTGTAGCCTGGGCAACGGGAGCAAAACTCCGTCTCAAAGAAAAACCCAAAAACAAAACAAAACAAAATGGGAGCCAACGCGAGCCGCCTGTGAATGTGCACGCTTTTGTTTGGGTTCAAGAGACCCCTGTTACTATCCCGTTCTTCTTTCCCCTTCGTTACTTTTTTGTCTTCCTTCTGCTGTCGCTATCGCCTTATGTGATGTTGAGGCTCACAGCATAGAGGTTGGAGATAGTTCAAGGCAATGCATTGGAGTACATTTTTACTCTCTATATGTGCAGAAATAAGATAGAAAAATGTGAGGAGGCAGAAGACTGTTGCTTGAAAACTGCCAGAGTGAAACCATCACTTGGAGGTGTCGGGGATCGAACCCGAGGCCTCATACATGCAAAGCATGCGCTCTACCACTGAGCTACACCCCCTTGCTTAAAAGGTCTGTTTGTAATAATTTCCAGGAGGTGACTTTCACATCCTGACCCTCCGTGAGTATGCTGGTAGTAGTGGTCAGTACTATAGAGCATGGAGAGCTACTCTGAGCAGGAGATATTTGGTGCTAATGGGGGATACAGATTCTTTAGAACACTGTGTAGGGCTTGAAACGAAAAACAAAAGATAGAAAAGTGTCAGACAATAATCACAAGAAGTTTCCATTGTCAAGACATTGAGTTCTTCGGGTCTCCTTCTATTATGCTTGGCAAGAATCAAGTTCTGGTTTTCGTTTCTTTTGATTTCTTCCAGATATGACAAAAAGCCATTGAAATTCAGCCTTTCCCTGCCTAAAACGCTTCATATTTGTTGTTTACTCAGTCGGAATATCAAAGGTAAGATTTGATGGAGGAAAGCCATAATCGGAAGAAAACCTGAGAGCGAGGCACTCAGCATGTTTTCATAAGGGTCCCTAGCTGGCGTGGTGTCTTAGGCCTGTACTCACAGCTACTCCAGAGGTTGAGGCGGGAGGATGGCTTGAGTTCGGGAGTTGGTGATTGTAGGGAGCTATGATTACGCCACTACCCTCGAGCCCGGGCAACGGAGTGAGAAAGGCAAGCAAGCAAGCAAGCAAGCAAGAGAAAGTGGGAGTGAGGGAGTAAGCGGGGGTGGGGCGGGGGGCAGAAAAGAGGGAAGGAAGGAAGGAAAGAAAGAAGGAAGGAAAGAAGGAAGGAAGAAAGGAAGGAAGGAAGGAAGGAGAAAGACAGAGGTAGGGAGGGAAGGAAGGAAAGGAGAGAGAGAGAAAAAAGGAGACGGGAGGTGAGGGGAGGGGAGGGAATTCATAAGGCATAAATGAAAAACAGCTTTGGGGGTGGAGAGGAGGATTGAATTATGAGAGTAAGACAAAAGATAAATAGAAATAGGATTGAATAGTAGTCCAGAAAAACAAACATCCTATTGCCAAAGACAAGCAGGTGCAGAAAGGGAGAGGTTTTAACAACTCTTTTAGGAATGGGAGAAAGATTGAAAGATGGAGAAGATGAGTTAGTTTGGCTCATGCTAAATTTAAAGTATCTGTGGGGCACACTTGTGAGGATATTACACAGAGAACTCAGGCAATTAACTCCATCTCCAGCCTGGGATTTGTAAGCGTTAGTAGTAGTAGACACATTACATGGAGGTG